CCCAGTCCTGGCACATCGCCCGGCATCTCACCGGCCCCGGCACACTGCCCGGCCCCAGCACACTGCCTGGCTCCTCACTGGCCCCTGTGCACCGCTCAGTCCTGGCACATCGCCCGGCACCTCACCGGCCCCGGCACGCCGCCCGGCCCCAGCACACTGCCCAGTCCTGGCACATCGCCCGGCATCTCACCGGCCCCGGCACACTGCCCGGCCCCAGCACACTGCCTGGCTCCTCACTGGCCCCTGTGCACCGCTCAGTCCTGGCACACTGCCTGGCACCTCACTGGCCCCTGTGCACCGCCCAGTCCTGGCACATCGCCCGGCACCTCACCGGCCCCGGCACGCCGCCCGGCCCCAGCACACTGCCTGGCACCTCACTGGCCCCTGTGCACCGCCCAGTCCTGGCACATCGCCCGGCACCTCACCGGCCCCGGCACACTGCCCGGCCCCAGCACACAACCCGGCACCTCACTGGCCCCGGCACGCCGCCCGGCCCCAGCACACTGCCTGGCACCTCACTGGCCCCTGTGCACTGCCCAGTCCTGGCACATCGCCCGGCACCTCACTGGCCCCTGTGCACCGCCTGGCCCCGGCACACTGCCTGGCACCTCACTGGCCCCTGTGCACCGCTCAGTCCTGGTACATTGCCCAGCACCTCACCGGCCCTGGCACAGCGCCTGGTCCTGGCACACAACTTGGCACCTCACTGGCCCCGGCACACTGCCCGGCCCCGGCACACTGCCTGGCACCTCACTGGCCACGGCACACTGCCCAGCCCCAGCTCACTGCCTGGCAACTCACCGGCCCCGGCACACCACCCGGCCCCAGCACACTGCCCGGCACCTCACCGGCCCCGGCACACCGCCCGGCCCCGGCACACCATCCGGCCCCGGCACAGCACCCGACACCTCACCGGCTCCAGCACACCACCCGGCCCCAGCACACTGCCCAGCACACCGCCTGGCACCTCACTGGCCCCGGCACACCGCCCGGCCCCAGCACACAACCCGGCACCTCACCGGCCCCGGCACCTCACCGGCCCCGGCACACTGCCCAGCCCCTGGCCAGCCCTGGGACGTCCGTGCGGCAGGGACGTGGGGGGGGAATTGGGAGGGGGGCAGGGACTGGACCAGCCCGTGGGGCAAAGGGCCCAGGTGCTGGAGCAGCAGCAGGTCCACGCCCCGGCCCCTGCCTGCTCGCCCTCCCCTTCCCCCCGTGCTCCCCGCGCCTCACCAGCTTGCCCCCCCCCCAGATCAACATGCTGCTGCACTTCAAGCAAGGGGCGGACGAGGAGGAGTGCCCGGTGCCCGAGGACATCCGTGACGAGCTGCTGGATTTCCACACCGACCTGCTGAGCCACTGCGGTGAGGGGCCCCCGCCCGTCCCGCTGGGTGTCTCCCCACCCACCCCGCTGCCCAGGGCCCCGTCCCGTTGGGTGTCTCCCCACCCCACCCCCGCTGCCCAGGGCCCCGTCCCACTGGGTGTCCCCCACCCCACCGCCCAGGGCCCCATCTCGCTGGGTGTCCCGTCCCCCACCCCACTGCCCAGGGCCCCGTCCCGCTGGGTGTCCCCCCACCCCCACTGCCCAGGGCCCCGTCCCGCTGGGTGTCCCCGTCACCCCGCCCCCGGGCGCCGCGCCCCCGCTGCGCCCGCTCAAAGCTCGC